AGACCCCAAACTTCCCCTCCTGCAGGACCAGCAGACTTTCAGGTAGAAAATGTTCCTTTGCTGAGAAGGAGATGTGGCTATTTCTGAATTGCTTCAGCATTCCCTGGCATTCACCTCCACACGCTTAATCCAGCACAATGTTCTGTCAAAACCAGTGTGAGGCTCCTTTTCCAGTTAGATCCAGACAAGCTGAGGGAAACAAGCAGARGAGCTCTGAAACCACCAATTCCATGATTCCAACCAGCACTGCTGTATTTCCCCCCCTACATCCAGGCTGCATTTTCCCCGAGGAACACAGTCTGTGCTTTTACCCTCCTCAGGCTCCATTCCACATTTCTCCTGCACAAGCAGGACCTTACCTCAGGAACCACACTGCTGCCACTAAAATCCTGTGATTTTTTTTACATGTTTTTCCCTCCATCATTCTTTCGGATATTTTATTTTACAGTGGGGTGTGAGACCTGCCTGCTTTTATAACTGAGGARTTATGAGTGCTCTGGGCTGGATGACAAGGTGGTGATCAGTCACAGGCTGGACTCAATGATCTTGGAGGTCTTTTCCATCCCTAATGCTTCTGGGATATCTTAGAGGGAAGAGTTGAGTCTGAGCTAATTGTATCTGTCTGATACATTCCCTTGATTTATAGCTCCCCAAAATGCCCATCCTCTTTCCACACACTGCACAAAATCTGTGCACGCTGGCATTTTTGGAAGTCCCACAAGCAATAGGACAGAGACCAACATGAAGAGTTTGTGAGTCAAGTTGATTTTAGTCACACCAAAGAGACCTTGAGGCAACTGAAAGCTAAAGAAAGGATCTCACTATGCTCTCACTGCATAACTGAGACCTTCCAGAAACACCCAGGGCACCTGGAGAAGGCGGCTCACAGGTCATGAGGTGCAGATTTTCCTCTCCTAATTAGAGCCAAAGCAGTGAACCGTGGCTGGAGGCTCATGCAGTGTTGGAAGCAAAATTCCAGGCTGGGAAGCTCCTGCCCTGGGATGGTCAATCCTCTCCTTCAGSCAGGAGCTCGGCAAGGGAACACCAGAGAGCTGGCAGACAGGTCTGCAGCCTGATTTCCCTTCTCCAGTAATTTCTAGGTCAGTAAGAAGGAAGCCACCAATTGCAAATGTTTCCTTTTGTGCCCAGATCTCGACACYGCAGCGCTCCAGAGGGTCCTGAGCCAGGGTGACGGGAGCTGATGCTGTYGGACAAGGGTCCAAAATTGATCTTTTGCCAGCAAGATTTACAGGCCAGGCAGACAAGAAATTACTCCAGCTGGGCACTCGGTGCCCATCTCTCAGCTATTCCTGCAGCTTGGAGATTCACTCCATAATTGCTTTCTTAGTCCACATTTTATCCTCAGCTGACAGAATTCCATTAGGGTGATACAAGCTGTGTGATAAAGGGATGTTTGTGCCTCACATRGGCTCTAAGTCATTTCTCTGCAAACAAGCAAACAGTCACAGCCATGGGCAGGGAGGCCACCGAGCCAGAAAGTCCCTTCTTGTGCCCTGAACAGCAGGRCCTCAGCCCACAGAGGGAAACAAACACCTCCCAGTGTCCCACTGCTCCTCTCTGCTCCTCAGAGGGGACACCTCCAAAATGAAGAGCTGTCCCCACAGCATTTTTGGGCAGGCACACAGCACTGCTATCCCCAGAAACAGGGACCCCACACCAACAGGGGCCACAGGGCTGTGACAGAGCAGTGGGTGACACCCCAGAGCAGAGAGCAGGAGCTTTTCATATGGGGAACACAAGAAACTAAACCAGTCTTGGATCACATGGAACAGGAGAGTTTAACGGGCTGGTCACAGCAGCAAGGCAGAGAACAGTGACTCTCAACAGGACTTTCAGAATAGTGCTGGCAGACAAATTGGCCTTCTGGGCATAATGGGGCAGCTAAAAGACAGTCATGATGGGAAAAAGGCTAAAAGGGAGCCCAGGAAGGTGCCTCAGAGGCTGCAGTGTGCACAGCTTCAGTACCTGGGGAAGWGCAATGCTGGAGCCATCACCACGCAGTGTGTGCTGGAGTTTACATTTTTTGAAGAACATTGGAAGAGGTTTGGCCACYTCAGTGACTTTTACCAGAAGAGCAGCTCCTGTTGGAGCTCAGCTCCTGGATCAGCAGCTCCAGAGTGTGGAGGGCAGCCCAAGGCACCCTCCCAAGTTTCTGGGTTGGGCTCCCATCTCTCGCTGTGTGCACCAGGATGGTGTTGGAGCTGCACCCAGCAATAGAGAACACGAGGGAATTGAGTTCTCCACTGACAGGTGYCTTTCCCTGCTGTTGAAATGCTCATGGGTTAAAGCACAAAAAGGCAGAAATTGAAAAGTTGCAGGCCTTCCCAGGCATTTCAGATTACACTGTGAAGACTGACAAAAATATCTTTCTCTAGATCAAAAAGCAGGCAGCCTGGCATGTACTTCCTCACCGATTATTTCTGTATCCTCTGCCCTTCTCAGTGTCACTGTGGGACAAACAAACTCATTTMTGTTATCTTGATCCAAGCTCTTTAAACCCAATCACAACAGGTAAAGGTGAGCAACTCTGGCATGAAGGTCTTTGCACGGCCCAGATATTGGAACTGGGTGAAACTTTAAAAATTTATGTCAAAGTCTTGAGCAAGAATTCATATTAATCCTTCCTCAAATTTACATCAAAGTCTTGAGCAASAACTCATATTAATCCTTCCTTTTCCTCAGCTGTGCTTCTGACAATGTCAAATGATGCTGCTGGGCACATCCTTGCTGAATTACTCCTGCTCAAACTGTGCCTGACATTGACTCAAGWGCTCCGTGGGGATTTTCTTGATTGCATGTTTACTCTTCCTCTTGTCCCTCCTGTAAATGCCAGTCTGACATGAATGTACTTGTGAGTAGTTAGTTGGAAAAAAAAGGTGAAAAATGGAATAGACCCTTTTTTTTAACCCTGATTCACTGAGGAAATGAGTCAAGTGTCTGTGTTTGACTGGATAGGGCTGACTAGGACTCTTAATTATCTTTGGTTATATAAAGGGTCATTACATCTCAGCTCCAATTAGGAGGGCAAACACTGACAGCTCCTACCCCACAGAGATGAATGAAGTATTTTCTAAACATTCTGCTGCTCTCTGGAATGACTGACTAGAACCAGGGGCTCCATTAGGCTGTGCCTTGGTGGTTTTTGTCATCCCAGACAGCAGCTGGCAAACCCTTCTTTCACACACAGACACTGCAGGGGAGGATGTTCCACAACTTGACAATTTTTAAAGATACTTTCAAGACTGTCAAGGTCTTTCCAMAGTGTGGCAATGGTGGGGAATGTTTTGAATGGGTTCAAGGGCTGCTGGGAGAGGATGGTGAAGGTTGAAATCATCAAATTCCATGCCAGATGCCAAARCAGCTGCACTGGATACAGATTTCCAGGGGCAAAAGGTGTTGAGAACTGGCTGCAATCACCAGCTGAGGTGAGGAAGAGTCTGTGGCAGGAAAACACAGAGAAAACTGTGACCCACCTGAGCTCGACCAGGCAGTTTGCAGTAATTTCCAAAAGCTGGAGCATTAGGACTGAGAAATCATTAGTCCATCAGGTAGGGCTGGAGATGCTCCAGACAGATACAGAGGAGACAGATGAGTGCAGGAAGTCCTCTGCCCCTCATACCTTTCCARATCAATAAGAAAGATGCTGTTCGGTGCCAGGAAAAAGCAGATTTCATTTCTCTGCACAGCCAATGCAATTTTCTTAGAAGAACAAACAATGTGACAGGCCCCATCCCATGTGGAGATTGCCCACATGACAAATCTGTGATTGTGCCTTGAGAACCTTGCTACAGCCTCTCCCAAACACAGACATTTATATCTGCTCTGAGCCCTTCCAACACCCCTCCTTTCAGCTCTTCCTCTTTTTCATCCTGSAGTTGCCTGTTATGTGATTTTGAGCAAAAATTAGCACTTGTTTTTTGGTAGAGCTACACCAGAAACACAGGAGGGGAGGGTTCTCAAAAAAACAGAGGGTTCTTAAATCAGGGCAGCTTGGRAAGAGCCCTTAAACAAAGTACAAGGTACTCACACACACTATTTTACATTTAAAAGTAAAGTGGTTTGTATTTAGTACAAAATACATTTTTTTTCTTCTCCATCAATACACAGAAATCTGGGAAATGCATTGTTATCTTGTGTCCTTTCAGCTCAGGCAACAGCAGTGAAGTTTTAATAAGCAAATATACAAGATATTACAGTCCTGACAGGCAGAAAGAGAAGCAGCACAGTTTGATTCAATATTGAGCTGCACCAGGATCTCTGGTTTATGTCTAAAAGCACATCCTGACTCCAGTGTTCAGCTCTCTTTGGGAACATTCACAGAATCAGAGACTGGCCTGGGCTGGAATGAGCGAGTTCTAAATGAGAATCCACAGAAAAGATTTCCAGGTTGTCACAAACGCCAAGTTTGCAGTGAGAAGCACATTTGCATAGCAAATCCTGCAGMATCTTGATTTGGTAAGAGTTTTTATTTAAATGCCCACATGTGCAGGGCAGGACAGGTATCTTCTGTCTAAAAATGCACTTCTCTCCTTACCTCATGCTAATGAAAAGGCATTTAGCATTTCTCAGAAGTGATGATCTGTTGCTAGCAACATCTGGTTAGTGCAGCACAGAGGCATGGCCTCCTTGTTCATATAAATTCAGGCAAAATAGGAGAAAAAACATTGCTCTGTAGCAGGAGAGCTCTGAAGCATGAGYAGAGTGCCTGTCAGCGGCACTCCAGGCAGAACACCTCACTTGCTTTTTCCACAGTAATGGAAATGATGAAAGAAATAATTATTTCACTGCAGAACATGAAAAGGTGACAGCTGAAATGCACTTGTTAAACCTTGATAAACCCACTTCCTGATCTCCATTTCCTGAAAGCATCCATCACACTTCTGCAAGCCCAGTGGAAGCTGTCTAGGTGTCAGAAACAGTGTCAGCTCCTACAGACAGCCCTGGCATCAAAACATGCCCAGAGACAGACAGTCAAGGAGCATTTCCTCTAATAAGTGCATTTCCCAGAGAACTATTTACAGGCATCACAAATAAAGCAACACCTCCTTCCAGTGAGGATCTTCATGATCATCCAGCCAGAATTTAGGAGTAAAAGCTTTAGAAATAATCTAAAAACCTTGTGGTTGTAACCATCCTGCTTCACCCAGGTTCTCAGTACTTGGCAGGAACAGTTGTCAGCAGAAAGGTTCTCACTCTCTCCTCTATGTTCCTTCTTCCCTGGATTTTCAAATATGAGATAAGGGGRAAAATTCAGACAGATCATGACCACTTTAAAAAACCCAAAAAACCAGGAAACTGAATTCATGCTTTAGATTTCATTCTGAAGAAAACTTCCCACAGCAAATAAAACTCCTCCTCACAAGAGGAGCAGYTCAGCAGCAGCAGACATGGAAAATCTTCCATTAGGATATGCAAATCTTGGAGATCTGGATTGAAATTACTCAGGACTGGATGCATTCAGGTCTTCCCTTGTTATCTCTTCCTCCTCTGCAGTCCTTTCTCACAAATGCAGGTTTTGGGGCGCAGAGCTGTTAAGGAAAATGAAGGGCTGGTTTAGGATTGTACACTCACAGTGAAGCCCTAGAATTAAACGAGGAAGAAAAATGCCCATTTCTCTTTCCATCCCAGAATGAAGCTGAGCTCCTCAGAAAGGGTTCTTCCATTGGCAGTGAGTGCTGCCAGCTTTTCACAGTCCCCTGGAATTGCTTTCCTGTGGAGTCTGAATTCAATGTTGACACTGAACTGAGTAGGAGGTTGGACCCTCCCTCAGGGAAGGAATCCCCCRAGGTCTCCTCCAACCCAAATCATTCCAGAAATGAGTTATGAACAACCACCATGGCTGRTATCAGCCAGGAGTCCAGAGGGGACACAGGCAGAGGATTCAACTGTGACTTGAGAAGCTCTGTGTCCTTATGCTGGACACCAAATGTGCCATGGCAATGGCAGCTGTTCTTCCTGGACAGGTCTGCTCTGGAATCCAAAATTCCCACGGACACAGAGATGTCAGGATACTTTTGACAATGCTAATGTTAAATATAATAACTTTAACGCTGATTTTGYACAGGCAATGGCATTTCAAATYCTTCTCCCACAGAACTGTTATTAAAAGCCATCAAATAATATCTGTAACACTTCCTWGAGAACTAATTGGAGAAAGTGTCACGCTCAGGAGAGAAAACCAATCATGAATATACCAGCTTGGCTGAGAATTTGTGATGTATTTAGGGAGCTATTCCGAGTAATTTACAATGAATGACTGGTACTCTTCAGACTATAAATACAATCTACTCTTTCTCCTTGGGAAAAAAGAGAGGTTGTCTTTTTAATTATCACTTTGTAAGCAAAAAGACCAACCAGAAAGACAGTGGGAGGAATACAGTCAACATGTTTTCCCCCTTGTTGCACTCACTGTGATTTTGGGTTTGCTCAAGGAGCGACAAGCAGCTGATTCTCAGACACATCTGCACCATCTCCAAGCTGCTTAAAAAGCCAGTGGGGATGCAATGAGCCCATTATTCCAAAAGCTATCAATGAACCTGCACAATTAACAGCCATTTCCAATTTATCCCCAGCCAATTGCTTTGCTGAGGATTTCTGCATTCGTGGCACTGTAAGCCATCGTCCCATTTCAGATTAGATACAGAGTGAAAACCCACCAGCTTATGAAATGTGCAGTTTGTCTTTCYGTGGTAGAAAAAGTGGAGCTAAATWTACATCAGACTCGCCACTTCTCCTAGTTTAGGTCTCTAGCARTGCTCATTATCCACACTGTGCCTGCAGGAATTGAGCAGAAGAAAAGTGTGGAAGGCAGAACTCACCCGGATCAGCCACAGCTCGTTTCTTTTTGCTGGTGGTGACAATCTCATTTTCATTCATCATCCGGACATCCTGGTCCTCCACATGATTGCTGCAAAGATTGAAATCAGTGCAACAGCCAAAACAATCAGCATTGTGAAAAGTTATGAGAGTCTTGGAAAAGGTTACCAAAGAAGTGATTTCTGGAGTCCTGGAAGCTGAACAGCTCCACAGGACTCTCCAGGTGGGRAAAGCATTATGTCCTCATCCACCTGAAGTGTTTCTTGCCAGTTTTAATTAGTGGCATTCATTCAGGCACACATTCAAATAGAAATATCATATCCACTCTGTAATTTTCAAGCCTGCCTACACAGCTTGAACCACMAACCAAAGTGAGGTTTGAAATCAGAGCGGTGCAAAGTGGGTATAAAGATCCTTGTGTGGAACTTCCACACTGCTTTGTCATTCTGAAATAGCATTATTTGAAACTTTTCCGAACTAAACAAAATTAATTTACTGTGACAAGTCTTGCTTGGAGCCTGCTGCAAGATTTTAACCATTTTGTTTTTGGGAAGAGGTAATAACTGCAAAGGTAAATTAAACTAAACAAATTACAGGGAAAAACGTGAGCTGAATTGAAAGGCAAGGAAAACATCAGTAATAACATCTCACTTTCACACAGACAAAACAAAACATTTGTGCCTTTGCAACAAAAGAAGTGTATTTTTCTTTTCTCTCCAAATACTGCACAAAAYGGGTTTCCATTTCTGAAGAAAAATGTAATGTCTCTCAAACTGTCAGAGGGAAGCAGGGGAGCCAACACTGAAGTAAACCAGAACTTACACTATTGATGATAATATCAGACTGGAGTTCAGGATTCATAAAATCCTGARCAGTGGAATAGAGAATAGGCCAGCTCCACAAGTAACAATATATAAAAGCTCCAGAGCATTTTTAAAATGAAGGGATATTATCCAGCGTGTCTTCTCAGCTGCTGAAATACCCTATATTTTAGTAGGGTGGGAGGTGAAAGAAAGAGAGGAGATGATTGCAGACCAGGCTGGAAGAAAGACCAAGAAAGCTCCTGCACAGAAGTCTGGAAGGGAAGAGGCTCAGCATGTTTTCAATGGAAAACAGCCCATGCAGTGTCTGTGACCCCAAAAACTCCCCTTTAAAGTAGATCAAAGGACATATGTCTTATAAATATGTGCAAAGGAAGTTATGTGAAAAAGATCTGTGATTACAGSTGCTGCTTCCCAGCTTCCAATAAAGTAATTTTACTGCCAGAAAGATCTGAAGCTGAGGAAAGTAAAGGTTCATTTCCCCTCCTCCTCTATCCCRTTGGAAAATTTCCTCAAAACTTTTATTCCCGCAAGGCATTTTCATTTCAGAAACTTTTTCACTTGAGAAATTGTTCACCTCCGAATTTTACCATGACAACACAGCCACTCGTACAAAAACAGGAGTCTAACACAACATATCCAAACAATAATAATTTATTTAACCTCTGACAGGACCCAGTGGCCAACAGCCAATGCTTCAGGGAAACACAGGAAAACAAACCCTGTAGGCAAATGTGAACTTCTGTCTTTAATCAGGGCATCTTATGTTCCTTCTGCTTATTTCTAAATGTTTGAATATTCTTCTGAATGGATCACAGACCATTTTTCCATGCAAAATTTGCCTTTTTTTTCAAGTGATTTATGTACAAGCCCTTCTATTTGTCAGCTGTCCAACATGTAAGAAAGTGTTCTTTTCTATCAGCTTTCATTTTTTCACTTTTCAATCCCATTTAAAATAAATTATTCCTTCAATTTTTACTTTCCTTGCCAGGGACTGTTTTTTAGACCCTACTGATCGTGACCTTCTAAATGTRAGTGCATTTTTCACTGCATTTCATCACATTCTCCATGAGATTGCCAACTTAGTGGTTTCAAAGTGTCATTCCCCCAAATGCAATTCATTTCTCATTTTAGAAGTTCATTATTGTAGACTGTTTATAAAATAGTAGRATTCTGGTTCTTTAATTAGCATCTGTGTCAAATCAGAGGAGTTTATTCTCTTTAATTTTGATGCTTGGGTTTTTTTTTTCATTAACTTTCTATTTTTTCCCTCTCTATGCAATATCATTGGGATTTATTAGCCCTTCTCTGAGGAAGCCTAACTTTAATTCTGTGTTTACAGGCTTTCATGAAAACATATGTAAATATAAATCATGAATCTCAGGAAGTGCTAAAAGCTGCTTGCAAATAAAGCTGCTAATTCGGTCCTCATATCTAAAAACCAATTTATTCCTCATCAAGCGAGGCCGAGGATGCTCTGGAAAGGAATTTTCTGCAGGATTTCCAACATTGCTGGCATCAATCACACAAAAGCAGTTTTTAAAGGCAAGATTCTTTCTCCCAAACTGTACCTGATAACGGTTCTCCTCTCCTGCTGGCAAATCCTCTCATCRTCCGTGAAGAGGATGGTGTGGTAGGGGATCACAGGGTCACACGTTGGGAGGATGCCTGACACCACACGGCTCACCATGTCCAGAATCCCATTGTACACCAGCAAATCATCCACCAGAAGCTACAAATATTGAAGAAACAAACCAAAAAAAAATCCATCTGGAAATCAGTGCTTTCAGCAGTTGTCTCTAGCAATTAGCCAGAAAGCATTTTGTCCTTTTTGTTTCACAGATCTGGTCATTAATTTAGATTTTGTTCCTTAAAACTTCCATTTCTCTCTATTTGCTGCTGGAGTTTGATTTTTCTCTTCCTCTCCAAGTTTTTTATCTTCTCACTGATGTTTTTTAATGCAGCTTTTAAGTAGGTAATTAAAAATGTATTTCGTGTTTTACATAATTGCCATTCTATTCACTGGAGTGAATCACTCTTAAATCTAGGAATTAATGAATCTCACCTCACTTCAGCTGTCTAAAACTTGGGTTTCCAGTTCAAACTAGTCTTCCAAGCCTACTCTACAGTCAGTGGTAAAGGGAAAGTGTTATCTTGTCTTTAGACAATTATCTAAGAAAAAAAATCAGATAAAGTTTTCTTTTCCCGGACAAAAAAGAGAGAGCAGATGACTGGCACTGATTAGTCATTTTAATATTAAATGCAGAGTTAAACGAGATGAATCCCATCCTTTGAGATTCTACAGAATCACACTTCAGTAAACTGCRAGAGTACCTACAGCTGACTCACCAGGACATAGAAAATGCACAGGAAAATTACTTACACCAAACTCCTTCACACCTCTCTGAGGCGTCTTGGCATAATTCCATAACTTGATCATTGACACGGTAGTAGGTACATCAAAAATGACATATACCCTATTCACCTGTAAAAGGGAATGAATTTATATTTAACAGCACAAATCCCCCAAAGAAATGAAATCCTCATGCATGTTACATCAAAAGAGGTTCATATTTAAAGAGATATAGCTGGAGGAGAGATAACACGTGCAAGGGATGGAAGTTCAGCTATCATCCCTGCTGATAATTCCCAGATGTTGGCTCTGCCCCACAGCTGYACTCTCAAAAGTACAGAAGATGAGATCTAGACCATCCTTGGACTGCCTGGAAATTGGAGGAGGGGGAGACAGACACTTTTAATGAGTGTTTCATAAACCAAACACAGACAAGTCCTTAAGGATAAGCTGCTGCCTCTTCTGTTCTGTTCTACTCTGAAGGGAGCCTGCAAGAAAGATGGAGAGAGACTATTTACATGGGCCTGGAGTGGCAGGACAAGGGGAATGGCTTCACACTGCCAGAGGGCAGGGACAGATGGGATATTCAGAAAAAAAGAAGCTGTGGCTGCCCCTGGATCCCTGGCAGTGTCCAAGGCCAGGCTGGATGGGACTGGGAGCACCCTGGGACAGTGGAAGGTGTCCCTGCCCATGGCAGAGGGTGGGATGAGATGAGCTTTTAAGGTCCCTCCCAACCCAACCCACTCTGTGAATCAATGAATTTGTTCTATTCTATTCTATTCCATTTCTCTCTACCAAATACAAATTCACCTTTCTATTACCAAGGCTGAATTTTCCCCTGTATAGCTCTAAAAGCTATTGCAGAAATTTTGTAATTTTTGTGTGAGTTATGCTAACAGGWATTTAGGGCCAATCCTCCAGCTGCTTCCTAAACAATTACTGCTTGAGGTATTATTCATTTTCCTTTCAGTGACGTTAATGTCAAGATGTTAAGGCCRAAGATTAGGCTGCAGGAAACCAATCTTGCCTGTTACAGTTAATTCCATGCTTTTCCTTTTATGAGSCACTGTATCAACTTTGGATCAACATATCTTAAGCTTCATCTTTAGCATCCTCTGAAGTTTTAATCCTTTGATGTACCAGAGGAGATACTSTAAGTTATATTAAATCATTATGCTGGGGTTTTTTTTATTGAAGAAAGGAAAGGTAGATCGGATCAATGGAAATGTTTGCATCTGTGATTTTCCACGAGACAACTGGGGCATTGTCTCCAACAACAATTGTGAGTCCCACAGCAAATGATACATTTGATAAAGAATCCATTCAAACAAATAAGTAAAATTACAGTCAGTTACGGGGGAACAAATCATTCAAATTCTGCTTATGCAAGTTATGAATTTGTAAAAGAGAAAACCGCTCTGAGAATTAGAAAGGAAAAGACATTTAGGAAAGAAAAGAAAGGCTGTAATATCAATTTTCTTCAAGCTTTTGAACCCTCTAACACACCAAAGAGTTAATTCAGCTTTCCAAGCAGCCTGCACTRAGGATGGGAGTGTTCACAAGCTCTGAGGCTGAGCATCCATGGGCTGATGGCTTCATCCAGCACTTCCTGCCTCAACAACCATCCCAGGGAAGATGGAGGAGGGAAAAGTGAGTCTCACAAASGTGTAATTTGCTACAGTTCAAGGACAGAAAACGCCATTAAATTGCTTCTGCCTCCTGCATTTCACACATTATCAATTTGCCCTTTAATACTGGTATTTTATGCTCTTCTGCAGTACTTTGGTGTCAGGCAGAACATAAAGCAGTGGCTGCATCGCTGAGGAAACTCCAGGGCCTGTTATTTTCCTTTTTCCCACGTGAAGCAGCCTCTGCAAGCATGTCTTTTGTAAGGACATGAGCACACTCAGATGGCTGTGGGATCAATCAGTCACCCTGTTATAATGGATATCTGAGCATCCCATCAAATTGCCAGGAATGGAGATGTGGGATCTACACAGCAGGAGCCTCCAGCATTACAGACCTTCTCTTTCCTAGGAAATGCAAGTGGTCACCATTCCCAAGGACACTTAAAAGCTTTATCTTAATTATAGCCTTGCATTACAACACATAATTATATAAATTAACTATTCCTTGCTTTTAATATTCTAATTATTAACTGCAACACACAGAGTCAGGATTTTTCCAGCACAGTAAGTCATAACATACCACGTCAGGTTTATACTTTCTTTTAAAATCCATTCTCTTATAAGAAACAAAACCACCTTATTTATGTCCATTACAGGCCCCTAAAAATGTCCTTTCCCAAAACAAGGTCAGAACTCATCTGAGTTTATCTGCTTTTCCAGTTTAGATTTTTGATATCCCATTTATTAAACATGGGACTTCTAAAAGGGCTGAATCAYTTGTGGCCTTAGGACATGAAATACTAAGTCTGCCATCCCTAATCTATGAATTTGAATTCAACACAGATAATGAGATTAAAAAAAAGATTTCTCACTGCTGGAACAACATTCATTGCAATTTGTAAAAATTAATTCAGAAGCAGCAGAAAGGTGTTTACTGCACAGAACTCCTTCAACAGTACCGCTATCACAGTAACCAAAAATCATCTCTGGAAATTCTCCTGCTGCTGCCCCATGGAGACAGGAGATTCCAAACCTGGGAAACCTCTACTGCTGCTGCCTRTGYGGTGGAGAGAGACTGCAATAAAAASAACTTCTAAWAAGCAGTGATTTAGCATCAGTCACTAATATCAAATTTAGCTACAAATTATATATGCTTCCAGTTCCATCCACACACATCCCTAAAACAGAATGAAAAGGGAAAATGTACCAAACCAGGAAGAACTGGTGCCAGCCACATGTGTCTGCCATCAGTGGTGTTGTTTACTCTGTCAATCAGCTTGTCTGGAGTCCGGATGTCTCCAGATACATCTTCTAAAATGTTGACGCTATCTGGAAAAGCAGCAATATCTGAAAAGAAACTTTAAGCATAAATAACCCAAAAAGRGATATTGCAGAAACACCATATTTTAAAGTCTATGCTCTTCCTGATTCCATGAATGAGTTTTCACCACTACAGCAGCACTCTCAGGACTTCACAGCTGAGCTACTTSGGGGCACATTTTTAAAAGCAGGACAACCCTGACAGATCCTGGCATWCAAATTTATTTTTTAAATAGGAATCAAGTATCTAGCTGCATTTAATTTATTCTMAAATATGTACTTATGACTTCATCAATAAAGTTCTGTTATCAGGAATAGGCATTTCCCAGCTTTTTGGTGACAAAGCCCCATTTTTTTAGCATAAACTTATAAAAATCTCTGATAGAAAACCTATCTCAAGAAAAGCATCCTTGCAGGAGGAAGTCATYAGTCAGACTAGATTTTGCTTGAGTTTCTCAAGGTTTGTGGCAAAAATCAGTAACTGTCTAAGAAACCCYTTTTTCAGTTCTTTTAGAGAGAAAGATTAAACCTCCATCAAACTGGAAAACAAATTTTCTCTGCAAGAGAACATTTACATTAAAAACATATATGAATGTTAAAGACATGCAAAGAAATGTGGATGGATGGCACTGTCTACAGAGCTATGAATCTTGAGCAATGCAGTTTGAGGGAGTTTTATTTCCCTTTGTCCTGCTTTCTAAAAGTCTGTGAGTATTTATAAAGGATTTAAGGAATTACACAGCAATGCCTCTGGTGTTTAAGAAAATCTTGCTCCAGACTCAGTAGTGAATTATCACATTAAATACTGCACTAAGACAAATATGCACTTTTAGGATCCTAATACACCCCAAAYACAACTGCACAGGCAGGAACAGGGGATCACTCAAAACAAGCTGAGGTTTCTTTACCTGGCACTGTTTTACACTGTAGAGCTGTGCCAGGTAAGTTAAATATCCTTGGTTTTTAAAGGCRATTTGTTACCATTTTCAACCTCAAAATGCTTCTTGTCCATTACAAATGTTTCAGGTTCATGGTGTATCATACAAGACACAAATCAAAATAGCACTTGGGGAAAAAGCCTTTATTACCTGATTTATTGTATTCCCTATTTATCAGGCAACAAGRATCCTTAGAGACAATCAATTCCTGCAGCATTTGGGATATTTATTCCTTCTAGGGGGCTAAGAAATGTTCCTTCCACATAACTGAACTATGGGAGTTGCATGTTGGGGTATGAAGCTTTCAGCTCTTAAAGAGATTTCAGCTGGAGCAGAGCAGGGGATGTGACCTCGATGAACATCAATCTTCCAAACATGCCCTTCATTCCCTCGGCTGGACACCCAGGGAACACTGAATCAAACTCAAACTCTCAGCCCTGATCTTCACGACTGCACTGGGTGTCTAGAACAGCCTAAATCTCCAGAACAAGAGTTATGAAAAATTTCTTTCTTGAGGCACAAAGAAAGATCCCATAAAAAAAAAGGTACTGAACTCAACCTTTCCTTATGAATTTATAGCTCAGCAAACTTTCTGGCCCATCCATACTACCAAAGAAATAAATGTCTAGAGCAGAAATACCACATCCTTCTTAAGCCTTCCCTTCTCTAACCTCATCCTGCTTTGTTGGTGCATCCCATTCAGAGAAAAAATGTTCTGAAAGTGTATAAAATAAATAAAAACATATGGAAACAAGGTTGATCATGCAAATATAGAGAAATAGAAGCAGAGTGGATCACACAGGACAGGCTGGCAGTGTGGGAGAGAAGAKTGTCCTGGGTGTGCAAAGGATACTGTTCTCAGTGAGGGAAACGGGCTCTCCGTGCTCGTTGAACAGCTCCAGCCCATTCAAACCAATGTAGTAGGGATCACCCCAACTCGTCAGGAGCTGGAACTGGAAAATAACTAAAAAAGCAAAATGCTGTTAAGGAAAATATCAATACAGAAGCTTTGTCCTAACAGATGAATWTATTTAATCTGCAGTTTGAAAAATAACTGTGCAGCCCATTATGCCAGACAGTATTATTGGCAGGAGAAAAAGCTACCAGAGTATCCAAAAACAGGCCACATATTCATATATTATGTTCCACTGATTTATTCTTAAGCCATACTTTATGGAAGCCTTTCTCATACTCTTGGTATCTTGTCAATACCTTAAAGCACCAGAAATTGTTGGATTCAAAAAGCTCAGGACTCCTAACCATGGAATGTGACTCTAAAATATTCTATATGCCAAGGCAGATGACAGGGAAGGATACAACCACAGGGCATTAATGGTGCCTCATAGTCCATGCTGGCTTGTTCTAGTGTCTTTGAAGCAGTCCTGCCAAAAAAACACAAGGCAAAATTGGTTTTTTTTTATGTACATTTAGCTCCTTCAGAGAAGAATAAACCCACAGAACAAAGCCTCCACAAACACCACCCCAATTCCACCACCTGTGATYATGGACCAGACTGCCCTCAGACCTCAGTGAAATGTAGTTATTGTTCAAAACCCAGTGAAACTCTGCTCCAAGTGCTCCATATTTTCATCCAGGAGCCTCACACAGTTAGCTTCAATGGGGAGTGTAAAATAACATTAAAAGAGTGAAAAGAAATCATGTGGTTCTGATAACAAAAACATCCTCCTTTACCTCCTGTGTACTCTAGGAGCTGGCTGAGGCTGAAGRTAGTCAAGAAAGAGAATTTCTTGGGCAAAGTCAAAGTGGCAGTTGCCTGGTCCCTTGCGGATGAGGAACCCCTCTGGGGGRGAAATGCTGTGCCCATCCAGAGTCACATGGACCACCTTAGCCTGGGTTAAAAGAGMAAAACATACAATTACATGGCATGACATAAATGAAAATAGATTGTAAACAGCTCCATTCACTTCAGAGGCTGGAATCACCTCAGCCATTTTGCTGTGTTTATTTCATTCCTCTGTAGTGTGACTTCCTTTGGCAAAGAAAACCTAACCCAGCAGAGAGCAGCTGCAATCCAGMGTGTCCATGTCATCACTGACATGGATGGGGGTGGGAGAGGTGAGGATTTGGGGGGGRAATATTAAAAAAAAAGCATTGACAGATCCTTCAATTAGTGCATGTCACTAGATCTCAGCAAAGTGAAGCTTCCCTTGYTCACAGAGAGGGTGRRCAGAGGCTGCCCAGGGCAGTGCTGAGCCCCCATCCCTGGAGGGATTTGAAAGATGTGCACATGAGGCACCTGGGGCCATGGGGTAGTGCTGCCCTTGGCAGTGCTGGGTTTGCAGTTGGACATGGAGACCTCACAGCTCCTTTCCAACCTGAATAAGTCTCCCATTCCTGAGCCTGCAGCAATATTTACACAYGTCAGGAGAAGGGGAAGATTCAGCTTTCGAGTCAGCCCATGTCACAAAGAGGATCTGAGCAGACATCATGCGCCTGAATGCCCTGCTAGGCCAGGTGGGATTGCCCAGCCCTGCTGAGAGCACCTCCAGAAATCCCAGAGCAGYCTCTGGTGTCCCTGTCACATTTCYAGAAGCCTTTCTTTCAGCAGTTCTATTTATCTTTGTGCCAGGGCTGCTCCAGGATCGTGCAAACTCATCTGCCAAGCTGTGGTAACCTAAGGGCATATGAATAAAGAAAAGGAACCTGCACCACACACAGAGAATTGAGCTGTGGCCACCTCAGAGATGCCAGCACAGCTTATTCAACCTCTGAAGATTAAAGTGAATAATTCAGGCACATTTATTCAGATGTTGCAGGAGTCCTGGCCCCTTCACCCGCCCCCAGCAGCACCATATGGAGCTGAACCCATGATCACAGAACAATTCAATCACACAGCGACAATTAATCACTGCACCTTGCCCTCTAATATGTTAAATATAACTTAATAGATCACCAGCAGCATTTACTGCCCTGAGTCTTTCACTAAGTACCAGTGTGGAAGGAATAATACCTGTAAAATATAACAAGATGGCCTTATAGCTGGTACTGCAATTAGAGCCTGCTGATTAATGGCYTGAACCAAAATAGATTCATTTCCTTAAAAGGAGACTAATTTAGTCTAAATGCAATGTAAGCCAGTTTTCTCATTTTTGGATTTTATGCTGTCTGATGAATATAGGATAATTTGARGTTAACTTAGGTTTGTATGCAAATACTTAATTTTCGTGATTAGGAATTCTATTAAAATATATATGCAATATTTGCAAAATTCCCATTTTGGGTAGCTATTTGAGAAGAATTTAAAAATATTCTGAGCAGTCTGAAAATCCTGTATATTATCTGTAATATGATATTCATAACATCCATTTGTAAATGATGTTCTATTCTATTATAATTTCAGTAAGTTAGACATGCAATATCCTAAAAACAACAAATTTTCAAGGAGATTTTTTTTTCCCACAAAAATGCTTTTTTATTTGAAAACCTTGGGTATTGTACTAGACTCAAGGAGGTGCTCARTTCATTTCCATGAAGATTAATTAGGAAGGAATGTTTGTGTGACTACCAAGTGTGGAGAAACAACTATTTCTGGCTTCATCTTTAATACACTYGGGATCAAAGCAAGGAAATATCTTTTCCATATGACAAACTCTTCTGCACGCTGCTTTCCAGCTGAGTTAAGTCTGCCAGGCTAAGGAAAGGAAGTGAGAAATCCACTGAAATCCACTTTCCCAAAAGGAAACRCACAGTGAATGGGAAGCGTGGAGCCTCGGCGATGAAATCTTACCCATTACACCACAGCACTGCATTGATGTGCCCTTTACAGCCCTCATCCCTAAGTCATTCTCATCATCTGAGGAGGCACTCAGCCGTCACATATTGCATTTTACAAATGGCATAACAAAGCTCTGGCGAGGTGATTTTTCCCAGGGCTGCAAAGAGCAGCCGAGTCTTCATTCTGACAG